GCTGAAATTATGCTGCTCTGTACAGAGGAATGTGAGATTCATAGGCTGGAAGGAGTATCAGTAAGAGGTAACCTCTTCCTGTAGACCTAATTTAAATGTACTTTGCTGGACAAGCAAATATGATAGATAACTGCTGGATAAAAATCAGAAAATTCCAGTAATAACGGTTTCCAATCTGGCTTTTTACTGGCCTAAATGAGTTCCCAAACTGTTATACAGAGCCATGGTCTTTACATACTCTACTGCTGCCCTACTAGTTTTTGCATTCTTGGTTGTACAGTAACCTGGCTTTTCAGAAGGCTGTATCCTTCTTTCTGTGGGCTTTGGATATCTGCACAGAGGCATCCTGGTTCTGGATCGATCAGTAATGAGGTGGACTGAATGGCTCTCTCTATACTAGTAAACTAAACAGGGCTGAGCTTTTCAGGGTTCAGGCACTATGTTGTGATTATCTGTACTGTTCAACTGCTAGCACAGTCCCTTACAGAGTTTGGCTTGTGCCAGCAAGCTCTCTCCCAGACAATGCCCAGACACTGCTTGGGAACATTGCAGGCAACAGCTTGTTTCCATTAGGCAGGATGGGTGAGGCCACCCTGAATTGTGAGGGTAAGAGATTTTAGCCGTATGGATGCTATGTTGTGCATCTTGTCCTCAGGGCTAGAGAATGAGCCATGGCCTGTTTTATTTATTAGTATAGCTGTAGCCAATAATTCTGTCCAAATGCAAACAGATTTTTTTCTGGTCTACTCACATACCTTTGGCAAGTGTTTGGTGCTCGACAAAGGTTACTAGCCAGGCACAGCTCCAGGCTTGAGCTGAAATCATGTATTATGCATTGCTGAGTCTGAAGCAGTAAAGCCTATCCAAACTCAAGATGGGAGGATGCTACAGAACAGGGAGGGAGGATAACATGAAAACACGTAAGTAGATCTGGAGGGATGAGCGTGAGTCTGGCATTGAGCAAGAACTAAGAAACCCTGCTGGGTCCTCCAGGGCCACTTAATTATCTTCAGACTGTGCCACAGTGTTTGCTATACCTGAAGTACGTTGCTGAGATGTTGTGCTGACTCAGCAATGAGCTGATACAGGTGCCTGGGTCTGCCTCGCTCAGATTCCAGCTCGCGTGCAAGCAGCCATACTGCTTCTGGACACAAGATGGCCTGAGCCAACAGCTCTGTCAATGTAGACTGCCCATCGCTGAGCCAGCTCCGATCGTTCCCATCTGTGAAGCAGTTGATATGCAACACAGATAAAGTAGCCAGAGAAAATCAGCTTTTATAAAAAAAATTATTTGCTTGCTTTGTTGCTCTTTTTTCATGCTTTTGATGTTTTATCTAAAAAAAAAAAAAATTATAGGGATACTTCCAAATTATAGTGAACAAAGAGAAGATTCCTCCTTAGGGAAGGGTTAGAGTGATAAAAAATGAAAGTTTCTCGTATCTCAATTACTTTAATTGTTATGCTGATAAACCAGCTTGGAAAGATTAACTTCCATTGAAACAGTTCTAGTTCTGCCATCAAAATCTCAAAAATACTATTTTTTTGTGTGTGTGAAAGAAAAGCCACATGTACAATTGATTCCTGGAAATCACGGAGTATTTGTAGCTCAAGTAGACATTTCCAGAAGCTAGAGGACATGGGGGAAGCAGAAATGAGAACTCTCTACCCTCAGAGAAATTATCTCTTTAGTGGAAGAACTATGTATGTTTACACAAAGTTATACATCAAAGCATAATTATTAGATAATATACAGGTTAGACCTAGCTTAATATACCAAGTGGAATTGTCAAGGTGTATCACAGAAAATGTATGAAAGAAAGATACAGTATTTGTTAACTGTTAAGAATCTTCTAAGATTCTAACTTCAGAGGTTTAGCATGCATCTGTTTGTAGGATGAGACCTCCAGGATTTTTAAAAACATATTTTTGATTTTCAGTACCACAAGTACTATGATGAATGAGGGAAGCATTAATATAGCAGTCAACTCAAATTTTTGTCAATTTATTACTTGATTTTAAAATAGAATCTGACATAGTATAGCAGAAATGTACTAGAACTATTGGTCTGACATTAGGAGAATGCACTTATTAGATCTGACCTAAGTACAGAACTTGTCAGGGCAAACCCTCTGAAGGCTAACATTTAGTGAAAAGTAAGGGTAATTCTTTGGTACAGAGAGGTGGAAGAGGTTCTGATATACTACTATTCTAGCTATTGCTAACATGTCAGGAAAAAAGTACTGGAAGTTAGGATGCCACAGTGGTTTTAGCTATTTATAGATGTTGCATCCACATGTCAAATTTTAAAAAAACCCTCAAACTACTCTGCAGATTCCTAGATAGCTAAATTAGAGAAATGTATTTTAAAAGGTAGAGTAAGAGTTATGCTGTATGTCACACTTCAAGAACTGATTGAAGTGGTTTATCTGTATTGTGATTTCTTCAACAAGATATTTTACATACTAAAATTAAACATTATACTTCAATTATAATCATCATTTACTTATAAAATTAAAGTTGTAACAGTAACATACTGAAAATAAGAGCTTTGATTTTATTTCTATATTTTAGATTTCAGGAATATAAAGCTGTAGAAGCCTTGGTAGAACTGCTCACTGACCAGCCTGAGGAAGTTCTTGTAAATATTGTCGGAGCACTAGCAGAATGTTGCCAAGAGCCAGTAAATCGAAGTATTATCCGTAGATGTGGTGGAATACCACCTCTGGTGAAGTTACTTACTGGAACCAATCAGGCACTACTTGTGAATGTCACCAAAGCAGTGGGAGCTTGTGCAACAGAACCTGAAACTATGATGTAAGCTCTTCATATTTATAACATTTTAAATATTAAAAAAAAATTAAGTAGTCTTGGCACAAATATATTTAATTCTGGTCTGACTTAAAAGGATGTTTTCCTTTTTCTTCCCACAGGGCTGTGTGGGTTAGTTACATCCTACTGTAAAATGTGATATGTATTTATACATATATAATGTCATTAAGGACATTAATGTAAACCTTTTACATTTGCAGGAATATCAGATAAACCTTTAGTAAATTGATTTTTGTTAAAATTCAAAGTTACAGACCACCATTTTAAAGTTCTGTGTGATAGGTACCTGTTTTGCCTTCTCCTTGTACATCTGTTCTCAAATCATAAATAATAGCTTAAACTAGAGAAAGTAGTTCCAAAAGGAAATGTGCACATTTACTGTCATGAAAAAAAAAATTGAAAGTTTTTGAAGTAGAGTATTATTTGTATTTTGCTGTTTTGTCCCTCTCCATCATTCCTTTTATGAACTCGGACCTTTTTTTGACTCTTTGTCCCATCATTCCTTTGCAAAATCAAAGAAAAAGACTGTCTTTTTACTGAGAGAGTTGCTGCTCTCTTTGGTTTTGTGATGTAGATTTATACAGCTTATAAAGATCCTTGAGTTTTATGATTAAGTGTTCCAGTTAAATGTTGAGGTCGGCATTTACTGTGCTTCCTGTTCCCTTACAGGGATATTTACCTCAAGATTCTCGGCATATTTCCCTCCTTATACATAAAGAAGGTCAGAAAGAGAGTTTTATTAAGCTCCTCCTGTTCTGATTTGCATAATTCACTTGATATTCATATAGCAGTGCAGGGAATTCTTTTCCTGAATAGGGCTTTTGTTTTCATGCTTTGGCTGTCACCCAGTGGCAAAAGGCTAGATGGTACACAACTGTAAACATGTAACATAGAAGTATACATAAATGGAATCACGTTCACGACATATGTCACTAAAAATCAGCTTTAGAGTAGTGTATTAAGTTAACAGAATTAACATTGTAAATCAACTGAGAAATTTAACTGCCAATAAATATAAATTGATATTTATGAACCCTCGGACATACTCCACTATTCAGAACTATCACTTGTAGTGTCCCGTATGGATAGCTTCATACTGGAATGTGGTCAGTATAAGCACTAAAAATAACACAAGTTGCTGCTAAAATTCTGATGAACAAAGTCCATCTTATTTTTAAGGAGAGAGTACAGATTGTTTGGGGACAAAATTTTATGGAGTTTGCAAAGAGTGGACAAAGGGATCAAACATCAAAATTGGTTCATATGAAAAAATTATCTATTGAAGGTTCTCAACTTTAAAATGTTTTAAAAAATATTTTAAAACATTAACAAGTAAGCAAGATCTTAGAAGTGTAGAACATACTTTTTACTACTCAAAAAAATGTTACACAGAAATTATTATTATTATTAGCAAGACTGTGACATGTACCTGATGTATGGTGCTATTTAAACTTGTAGTACTAGAAGAGATAATGCTGCTATCTTTTCCCAAGGTGTGATTTGTCCAGGTGGCCATAAGCTTGATACCAATCCAGCAAAATATTTAAAACCAATGTTTAGTTAAAACACTGACACCAGTGCAACTATTCACATGTTTAAATTATTTGTTTGGTTGAGTACTGTGCCTTTCACAGGGTGAAGATATTAGATTCCCACCCCCTCCAGAAAAAAGCAACATCCATCCCTATCCCTTCTCCTCCTCTCAGAACATTAGAGCAGGAATTGAAATTGTAGGTCCTTATCCAAACTGCTCTCCTCCTTTTTGGGAAGAGTAGGTCACCAAAGACATGAAGGATACAGAGTGTGTAGCATCACTTTGTTCCATTTACAGAATTTGGGACTAAAACAGTGAAGTAGTCTTGTTAAAAACTACTGTGGATTTCGTTCTCTTTCTGTAAACATTTTCTGAAATTCTTAACCAAAAGGACACATCTTAACAAGGATGTGGAGATATGCTGTTGTGGGTTGACCCTGGCTGGATGCTGGGTGCCCACCAAGTTCCTCCATCACTCTACCTCCTCAGCTGGACAGGGGAGAGAAAATATAGTGAAAGGCTTATAGGTTAAGATAAGGACAGGGAGAGATCATTCACCAATTACTGTCACGGGCAAAACCAGACTCGACTTGGGGAAATTAGTTTAATTTATTACCAATCAAATGTGAGTAGTGTCATGAGAAATAAAATAAAATTCTAAAACACCTTCCCCCCACCGCTCTCTTCTTCCTGGGCTCAACTTCACTCCAGATTTTCTCTGCCTTCTCCCTTCCCAGCGGCACAGGGGGATGGGGAATGGGGCTGAGGTCACTTCATCACATGTTGTCTTTCCTGCTCCTTCCTCTTCAGGGGGAGGACTCCTTACACTCTTCCCCCGCTCCAGCGTGGGGTCCCTCCTATGAGAGGCAGTCCTCAATGAACTTCTCCAACATGAGTCCTTCCAATGGGCTACAGTTCTTCACAGACTGCTCCAGCGTGGGTCCCCCACGGGGTCACAAGTCCTGCCAGCAAACCTGCTCTAGCCTGGGCTCCTCTGTCCACAGCACCACAGGTTCTGCCAGCAGCCTGCTCCAGTGCGGGCTTCCCATGGGGTCACAGCCTCCTCCGGGCTCATCCACACACTCCAGCATAGGCCCCTCAGTGGGCTGCAGGTGTATCTCTGCTCCCCCGTTACCCTCCATGGCTGCAGGGGCACAGCTGCCTCTCCATGGGCTGCACCACAGGCTCAGGGGAATCTTTGCTCCAGCACCTGTATCACCTCCTCCCCCTCCTTCTGCACTGGCCTTGCTGTCTGCAGGGTTGTTTCTCTCATGTATTCTCACTCCTCTCTTCAATGCAGTTGCGCAGGTTTCTCCCACGCTTCTTAAATACATTATCCCAAAGGCACTACCACCATCACTGATTGGCTCGGCCTTGGCCAGCGGCAGGTCCATCTTGGAGCCGGCTGGCATTGGCTCTATCGGACACAGGGGAAGCTTCTAGCAGCTTCTCACAGAAGCCACACCTGTAGCCCCCCTCCTACCGAAACCTTGCCATGCAAACCCAATACATGTACCAAGATTGTCTTCTAGAAAGAAGCAAAGCAAAGCCACTTGTAGCCTTTAAGTATCTACAGGTGATGAGAACTTCCTATTGCAGTTTGATACTTAGCTGCTTCTGGTCTTCCCGGTTCATCTGGCTGGATCCCTATTGCATTGCTTATTTCATAATCACATATTCCTCAGTATGGCTTGACAGGTTCTAGGAGATCAGTTGTTCTCTGCTAATAGCTTCTCACCTGGCAAATTTGGCTGGCAGGTCTTAAGGCTTGTTTTCTTTGTCATCTGGTACAGACAAGCACTGTTTAAAGAGGTACTGTTTTAATTTGGCGCTACAGAAATCTATGATGATTTTTCTGTATTCTGCTGTCATTGATTTTGATATGTACTAGAAACCCGGAATAAAGCAGGAAAATTTAAAGGGAGTATCAAGCCCTCGTAAGGATTGAGAATTTTCAGATATATCCTTATATTTCATTAGCTGCGTGTGTGTGTTTAACAAAGTGTAGGTTAGGTTCTACGTATTCAGTTGAGCAGTCTTCTATTCTGAATGTGGTTATACTTCCAGTAGCAGGGATGTGGAAACCATGCAGACCGAGAGGGCAGCTCATGTAGTTTCTGTGAATGATTCAAGGCTATGTAATGAAGAGGATGAAATTAATATAAGAAATAAAAACCTGAGAGTGTTCTATTAAACAGTGCAGTTAACTTCTGAGGGGAATATTGTATGTTTATCATGTGTTGCATGGAGGAAGCCTGAGCTGACAAAGAGGGAAGACTAGTGGATGGGCATAGATGAATCTACAGTTTTTATACATCTTTTATATATCTTATCCCTGTTGGGTTAGTGAGTTGACACTTCAGCTTCTACAACTACTGAGTGGAAGGTGCAATAGTGTTACTTTTCTGCACCAAGCCTTTACTTTAGGGCAACTTCAAGCAATTAAGTGATTCTTATTGACTCTATTGAGCTATGTAAAATAAAGAACAGCAGCCAGCTTCTCTCACAACAAAAAATAAGCCATCTTTTCTTAAAAAGGCTTAGCTATGTGACTGAACTTCCTTACTGTTATATGGACAGCATGAAGCAGTTCTCCATACTCAGACTGCTGTACAGCCACTGACAGAGAATCTGCTGCACATCTTTTAAGTACATTTGTCTTTTTGAGGACCTTTTTACAAATTATTCTGTTTCTCTTACTAAAAACAGAGAACTAGTGTGTATTCTTTAACTGCCACTAGATTTTCATTTGCCCTTTTCATTTGAAAACCTATAGACTTCATCTCTAGCATTCAAAACTGAGGGTTTAGAATCTTATAAAATAAAATGTACAATTATTTTAGCCAAACTGATGGAGTTTGAGTCATTGGTATATAATACTGTTTATCAAAGCAGTCCACAGTAACTAGTGAAAGTTTTAAGAAACATGCTAAATTGTGGTTTCAAAAAAGACAGAATTACATTCTGCCAGAATTAAACACTGTAATCTTACCAGTGAGCACAATACAGAGTCAGTATAACTTTGTTTATTTACATTTGTATTTGTGGTCTAAACTGGCAGGCAATTAAACTAGACTTCTTAAAAGTTCTGGCAAATAACACTACAACAGAAAAAGATGATAGATATGACAAACAGATGTCTAGGCTGTGTGTATGCATGTGTGTTTAAGCAATTCATGTTGAAGTTTCTACTGGAAATGTTTAATATTAAGTTTGAATTTGAAAGAGAAGTACTATTTCAGATTAACAGCTTTGCTAGTTTCAGGTAAATTAAAAAAAAGTAAATTTCTAGAATTGTAACCCACGTCTTGCACAGGCACCTCATGATGTTCAATGATATCATGATATCAAGGCTCTTAAATGAAATAATGCATAAAGTCTTTATTAAGCAACTGTTGACTGTAAACTACCAACAAAAGTAATTCAAAAAAAATTATCTTGTTAAATTATCTGCACCGATCAAATAGCAAATACCAATTCACTGTAACCTGAGATTTCCCGGAGGCTGTCCTAGGCACTCCAGTAATCTCTGAATGGGTTTAATTACATTAGAATTATTTGCCCAGAAGACATATTCTGTATACACCATATGTCAGCTGTTCTGTGTGGAAACCAGGAAGATGTTTTGCTTATACACCTTGTAGTTGCTTTTTTGTGGGAGTGATGTCAGCTGCATAACCCTTCATCTCTGTTCTAGTCGTGTCTGGCCAGCACAGGAGTGCATGATAGGAGAGCCTCTTCACTCCAGATATTTCTAACTGCCAGTGCAATTACTTTTGATTATTTTGAGAAGCAGAATAATTTACACCTTGTTCTAGATTGTATCAGTTATCAGCTAAGAACAGTCTATGACAAGGCACAGAGCTCTGAATCAGAAGAGGTGGCTGCTGGCCACAATAGACCTGGTTGGTCCAGGTCTATTGTGAGAAGCCTCTGCTATGTTAAGGTATAGAGCAACAGTAGTTTAGAATCTGGGCTCTTGCTTCTGAACTATGCTTGTTCATACATTGTTATGTACTTACAGTGAAGCACCAGATGGCATTTACCTATAATAAAATTTACATTTCTACTTTGGGTGACTTTCATGCCACTAGGATTTTGACTATTAATAGTGTTCTATACGTTGGACACTTTACGTACATGTAGTTCAGCTATTCTATAAAGCAGTTAAATATTTGAACTTTAAAATATTAAATATTGGTATTTTTGTATCAATTGAATATTGTATTATTTCAGCTTTTATGAGATTCCCTTCAACTTTCAAAGGAAATGTTCTGTGTTCTTATTAAAAGAACTTTATTTTAACAGTCCCATGAGTGGTTGTTTAACACAGGTTTAACTGTAGTTTGATTTTATCGTCATAATGTCAACAAATTATTATAAAATATATAATTTAAGTGACTGTAACTAGTTAAGTGAATGTACTAGTTATGGATGAATACAGAATTAAATGCCAACCAAACTAAATTTTAAGGTATGTTTGCTTGTATTTGTTGTGGTAAGTAGCATTCTTACAGCATCCTGCTAATAATGTTCTAATAAATTTTGGGAAGAAAATTAGATACAAAAGCTATATATAAAAGCAGATCAGAATATTGTTTAGTGTAATGCCATCAGAGCTGAAATTTTCAAGATTACAGGTCTTTTTTCCCATCTCTTTCTTTGTTTATTTGTAAAAAAACCTAAATGTGCATTTTTGTCCACTTTAAAAAGGAAATTTCACATAGAAAGGAAACTAATGTCTAAGGACTTTTATAGAGGAAGCATTTTTCGGGGCCATTTATTTTAGTGTTCCCTTTGCTTTTAGAGCAAATTTAACACCCAGTTTCTTCATCTGCTACATTGTGTAGTGAAACCATAGAAAGATTAAAAATTGAACTGAGAAAGGATTAGTCACTTGTTTAGCAATGCTTTCTTTAATTGGCAAATACATGTTCTCAGCAAAATGAAAATGGAAGGGTTTGTGCTTATGTGGCAATTACACAACAATAATTTTTCCAGTACGAGAATTTAAGAGCATTGTTATTATATGTAGAGTTCTTTTCATTTGAGTTAATCTAGTGTAACTGAGAGAAAGCAGTAATCAGTGATGAACAATGTGCTTTGGAGATTTGTTTGTTTTGTCCGTACTGTTCTTCAGTTTGTTATTATCCATGCTGAATGGATGGAGGACTACACTTTCAGATATTCTGAGTTGTTCTGTTGGGTGTAAGACAACTGGTCTTTCTGATCTTCCAGCAAAAGGCAAAACTTTAGAAAACGAAGCACAGAATGAGGCTAGTTTACCTTGAAAAGCTGAAGAGAATACAAGAAAAAGGCAAAGAAAATTAAAATAAACTTTAATTTGAAAAGGAAGCTTTCAGAAACATAGAAAGGGAAGAGAAATCAGACTAGAGGTTGTTTTTGTAAGTGTGATAGAAAAAGCTGAGATCAGTGTTTGCTTCTGTCTCTTGATTTTACATACTGGTTGGAGCTGGGTCATTTATATTTATCCCCTCTTGGGAGGAAGTACCTCACATTGGTAAAATGGTCAGTACTCTCCTTGACTAGAAGAAAGATTCATGGGTTCCTTTTTGATTAATTCCTTTATGGAAAAAAATTGCTTGTGCTTTCTGAAATGACAGGAAAGTGATGTTAAAATTACTTAAAAGTGTTGGTAGTTTGGAGGGATTTAAAAGCTTGTTTTGAAGCTTTTACTTAAATCATCATTACTATGTTGAACATATATATGTAGTTGCGCAGTTTGTGATCATGCTGTTTTACTTTGATGCATTAAGATTTCAGAATTTGTCCTCTGAATGATAATTTTCTTGCAGTTGATTTGGTGCTGAGCATGTAAAGTAAGCTGAATTAAAATTAACAGATCTTAAATAACTTATATTGTCTCAGCCATAGCTTTGTGCAAAAAAGTATTATTTTGAAAAACATAGTTGTTAATCAGTTTGCATAAAAGCATTATGAATAAAATCCTTAGTTATTTTAAACAGAATTCATGTCCTTAATTGTTTTTTCTCTTTCAAAGGATGGTAGGATTACATACAAAGCTGAGTTTATTATTAGTTTAGGAATTTCCTGGCAAACTGATATACTGTGAACACAAATGAAATGTTTTATGTGATGTTTTTAAGCACAATCTGTATTTAAATTTCTCTTGTATTTACAGTTGCAGGTGTAGACTAATTTTATACAATTGAATTTCAAGGTTAGAAAATTAAGGTATATTTACTTTTATTTATCTTCAGCTCATCCACTTTGGGTTTAATATTTCTTTTTGAAAAAAGGCATGTTTGTAAAGGCTTGTTTTGTTTGACCTTCCTTTCCGTTTAAGGTATTCACTGGACCTTAATGTGAAGTTTTGATCCCCAAGCCTGATTGATATGTAAACATAACACAGATGGTGTAGAGATGATTCTGATGATAATTCATTTTTCAGCTAGTCACCAAGATACTTTGATTACAGTGTGTTTAAGTAATTATAACATAGCACTCAGTGTTAGTCTTGTTGTTGTGGAACACATGGGAAACAAGTAACATGTTATTCACGGCCAACAAAGGTTACACTGTTGTGCAACCATTTTAATTTCTAATGCTAGATTAGAAACATAGTATTTTAAAATATGTCATTAAGCATAGACTGAATAAAAAGCTAAGTACATAGTTTTGGGCATAAATATTTGTTTTGGAAAGTGTTTGTTACTATATGAAAGAAGCCAGTATGCTTGAATTCAGATTTCACTTTCCATGCAGATCATTAAAAAGTCACATGCTTGTTTTCACATGTATATGAGTTCTGGTTATAACGTAGTTTACTTTATCTTCTATAAGCATTTTGAATGACAGTGCTGTGAAAAAATAAGCAGCATTAATGAAATGTAATTAGAAAACACGTCTTTACATTATTTGTTCACACCCATCTATTATAGAAAGCAACGTTTACTGACTATGTTGATGGTGATTAGCTGACAATAAAACACAAGCACTTACATAAAGCAAAACAATATGTTGAAAATCATGTATGAAAATCATACAAATATTTATTTAAGCAGTGTTCCAAACAAGATGATCTAATTTAAAATTTAGTGTTGCCTGCTCTGTAATTAATTATCTCTTTTTTTTTTTTTGGTCTGTTTCTGCACTAGGATAATTGACCATTTAGATGGAGTTCGTTTGTTATGGTCGTTGATGAAAAATCCTAATCCAGATGTTCAAGCAAGTGCAGCTTGGGCTGTTTGTCCTTGCATTGAAAATGCTAAGGTAAGAAGGTATTTAAAGTAATAGTTTCGTTATATATACACTCACATATAATTTTTATATTTGGATAATTTCCAGCAATACTTTGCTGTTTGCTACTTTCACTCTCTTTGTTTAATTCTGTTAACTGCTTAAAAAAAAAGTCTGTATTCACTTTTCAGAAGTGAATAATCCTCCATCTAGCACATATTATAGCATTCTGGTTTGCCTTTACAGTGCTTACTGTATTTGGAAAATGTGTTTTACTAACTTATCAAGACCTAAATTTACTGTTTCCAAATAAAGCATTCTGAAAATCTGACAGTGCTGAAAACAGAAAGCTTCTACTCACAGGCTAGGAATAGCACAGGTAGTTGTAGTTGTTCTCTACTATGAGGTACTTCAGCTATGTTCTCAAGAGACCATGATTTGGTTTCAGAGCATATTTCAGACTCCGTGCCAATGTAATCCTTAGATTTTCTGCTCAGACTGCCAACAGAAAGTGCCGGTTGTGAATAGTGGTTGTTGTGCAGGTCAGTTGTGCGCAGAAGACTGAGCTATTCATTTATTTCATGTCAGTTTCCAAACAGAGATAAAATGGTGAGTATAAGCTGTAAGTCATCTCCAGTTAATTCTTACCACTGACCTGTGGCAAAATAAATGGGGAAGGTTTTCTTTCCCATTAGAAGTTTCCTGGAATACTAAGTAGACTTTTATTCTTAATCCTTGTACAGTAATATCTTCCGTTTCTAATTTATCTCCATCTTCAATGCGGCTTTAACATCTTCTCTCTACTGTACCACAAATATATATCCTTCTACATATCATTTAAGATCCAGACTATGTAAAGAATGGAAATTCCTTCAAAGTGCTAGATATCCTTAGCATCCTTTGCAGTTAATGTTTCCTGTTTGAAACTGAGCACTGTATGGTTGCTATTAATTGATATAGATGGATGGATGTAGATACAGATATATGGATGAAAGTATTGTGAGAACATTTGGTATTGATTTTAATAACTTAAGCATTTTCTATTACTTCACAATGATTTTTAAATGGCAGCTTGATTGCAATTTTTCAAGCATGCTGGTTATTCTGAATTATCTTTTAATATAATTTTAAACATATACACTCTAGTATAATAAAAATTTTGTTACCTAATGGTGGGGAGTATACATGTCTCGTCTGTCAAAAGATGACTATACCTGCCTCTCCCTTGAACAATATTGCTATAACTGAATGTTAAAATCTTACTTTATCTCAGAACTGAGATAATACTTATTATGTGTAAGACTCCGCAACCTGTAGTGCCAGAATAATAGTCCACATGGCTAGAGCTTCCACGAAAAGCACTTTTTCAGAAACTAAGGGGATAGAGGACAGCTACTGAAATTATAGTCTACATGGATTTTTTTTCTTGGTTTTTTTTTCCCCCTGGGTATTTGATGAGTGTAAGCTATGTACATCCTTAGTGTAGCCATCCTCCTTTCATCTCTCTTGGCTGCCTGCCCAAATGCTAATCTGTGACCCCACAAAGAGTTCTTTGTGTGAGACTGAGGCAGAGTGGCACACTGAAACAAACCTACCAATAATACCCTTTCCTCTGACACTGAATGGAAAGAAATATGTATAAAGCAGTGATTATAGCCGCACTGTGGAAGTGCAGTAACTGTTTCTGTCTGAACAAAATTCTGATTTTTTTATTCAAAGATAGTAATATTCAACAATTTACTTGACCTTCCAAGAAGCACAGCTTGGTTTATGCAGTGCTTGATTCAAAAGCAGTAATAAGTGTATGACTTTAAAAGGATTATGTGCATTCTGGCTTTTCCAAGCCTGTGTGCTTGGGACTGCAAACTGTGTTTCAAATAGCCATGAGCTGAGAACCTGGGTTTGTTTTCTTTTTGTGTTCTTTTCTGGAAGCTGTAATGGTTCTCTTCTGTAGTGTGGAGGTTCATAGATGAAATAAAACTTGTTAACAGTATCAGAAACAAATTTTTATGACAATGTAGTGCAGTACCCATTTTTCTGCACAGACATCATCTGTAAATGCACCTTAAAGGTTATTTTATATGATATTTATAAAATCTTAGAAACTTGTCTATCATATTGATAGGGCTGTTATTGTCATAGTATGTAAGTACATGATTATCTCTTATACAGGTACTCTCACCATAATCTGTTTAAATTGGAAAGTCTTACCATTTCTGTTCTGCTGTTAGGGGGATAAGAGTCACAAAAGGCCAAGACTTGAATTCTTCAAGATGTTTAGGTGATAGCCAGTTTTGAGCTTTTGGGTCTAACTAGTTTGCCTGCTGTTAGAAAGTTAATTGCAAAGGGAGCAGAATCCAAGTTCCTGTAACCCTAGATTATGTATGTTGACAGTTACGTTATGGTAGTTGGTTCAGAGTACTTCCCATAGAATGGGATTGTATCAGTATGATATAGGTCAATGATATTTGGTCCATGACAGATGTAAGACTTTTTAAATAGAGGATATAAATTGTACACTGTAGTACATAAACTGTTACAGCTCTGACAGCCATAATATCGGTATGGTATCCGTCATCACTTCTGTATGACAGCATTAGTTCTAAATTCCATGAGCCTTAAGAATTTCTTGTAGAGTGAAGATCTTACAGGTAGGCTGGCAGTGATATAATTTGGGTGGTAGAACTCTCCTGAGAAAATTTGCACAGCACCTGTGAGTGCTACTTGTGAGTTTTAGACAAATACTTCATGATTTTGTATAAATTAGTTCAAACATTTCTTTAAAATATAAGACTTAAAGAGACAAGAGTGTAATTTATTCAAAGGAATTATCTTAATGGAAGCAGATTCTTATTAATTAGTTCCTTATTTCCAAAAGGAAAAGTTGCTACTGCAGGCACATTAGTAATGACGAAGTGTAAGTGTACTGTCCAAGAAACACAAATGATTGTGAAAAATGGCTAAGAAAAGTCTACTCAACTCTGCTGATGTTGGAACGGCAATATTTGGTTATGATGCTTCTTTGAAAAACAGTATTTATATTATTCTCCGAATGTACATCAGTCCAAACAGAAAAATTCAGAGAAACTCTACAAAGATGTTATTTGGGCCATTATAAAATTAATCCGAAGGCATTGTGCCAGTAAGAGGAACACTGACAGCTTGAGTTTGTAGGAAAATGCCTATTTCCTCACAGAGTAACCTTTAAACAATATGTCTTGAAATTAAAAAAAAAAAAAAAATTGTAGAGGTTATTTTCTGTTCTCATATTTAGTAGAGTTTTGGGATGAACATTAGAATAGGAATGGTAGTGTCAGGCCTTATGTTTCCTCTGTCCTTTGTCTGTGCTTGCATATCAGCTTTCAGCTTTTAAAGTTTTTGTTTTAGCCTTTGTTATAGCTACAAAGAACTTCAGGAAGCCATCTGTGTACAAATCTGTCAAAATAATTTAAATAAACAGTCTGAGACTGGGGATCTGATGGAAGAGAAAGGGAAATTTTCAATTTTCTTAAAATATACTTGTAAAATGACTTCTCACACTTTTCTGATAAAGCATGATTTTTTTTTCCCCCCAAGTTCACAGAATCACAGAATCACAGGATGTTAGAGATTGGAAGGGACCTCGAAAGATCATCTAGTCCAATCCCCCTGCTGGAGCAGGACACCTAGATCAGATCACACAGGAACGCATCCAGGCGGGCTTTGAATGTCTCCAGAGAAGGAGACTCCACAACCTCTCTGAGCAGCCTGTTCCAGTGCTCTGTCACCCTCACTGTAAAGAAGTTTTTCCTCATATTCAAGTGGAACCTCCTATGTTCCAGCTTGAACCCATTGCCCCTTGTCCTATCACAAGTTATTGCATCCCTTTCAGCTCTCAGTTGAATTTAATGGGTGTGATGAAAGATGGTCAGCCATCTAAAGTTGTCTGTGTATGTCCTACATATGGGGAAAGAGAATGTCCATGCTGACACAAAAAACACCCAAATCAAAACTAAACCAGGTTTAAGAGGGAAGGTTCACGAGATGGGTATGTGTGACGGTCAAATAGCCTTCACTCTTGCAAAAGTGTTATATACTGAGGAAGTGACTCCTGCTGGAGCCAGCAGTCTGGAGTTAACCTGTGGGTGGAAAATATGCTGCTGATGACCCATGCTATTTAGGATTCTTACATAGAATTTGCTTGTTAATGTAACCATATGTATAAAACCACAAAGAACATTTCTTTACTAAAAGTAACAAAGAAAGGTAGGTGAACTTGGAAATTCTTCTGATATTTAACAAATAAAATTATTTGCTGTTTTAAATGAATTAAGAGGGGTTTTTTTACACATTTTACTAATTTAAAACTGTTGTGTATGAAGATCAGTCATGCCCCATAATGCACACTGTTGTTCATTTGGTTTATATTTTAAAAATTTTACTTAAGTAGTACCAATACATTTTTGTTTACTTACCATTATTTGGTTAAATCTGTAATGTCAAAATTCCTTGCTTGAGTATGTACAGCATTTTCCAGTTTCTTTGTTTTCCTTGCTATGCTTCTTGCAAATCAATACAGAAACCTTGGCAGTTCAAACTTAGTGCTTTTACTGCTCTCTTTCATAGAATCATAGAATGTCTTGGGTTGG